CATTTAGAAGAGAGAGGAACTTGGCTAAAACTGGAAAATTCTGAAATTTCGAAGAAATTAAAAAAATCTCGTTAATAAATGGCCTTAATATAAATCTACCAAGTAAAAAAAAGTCATCAACATTTTTCCAGCAACGGACCTGAGTTACTGCGCTGGTGCGCTGTGTTGGCGCACCCACCAACCCATTTGCGCCGCAGTGCGCCAACTCCTAAAAATTCACTGAGTTACCCAAGCCAACTCTAATTGCATTTTTACTTAAAAATGAGCAACACAGCAACATTCTTTATTATTGTGTTTCAGTATGTTTTGTTATGTTTTATCGACTATTATTCCTTACAGTTGTAAATTGTTTTAATTTTTTGATTCAATGCACGATTTTGCCGAGCAGTGTTTTGAATCAACATTGTTGATAGTCGACGAAACGAAAAATTTAAGAACTATTTGGGCCTATCAAGATCCTGCCGCCTGGCAGCTTTAAATAGTAAATGCCACCAATAATAACAGTTTTAATTACAAACAATTTAATACATTACAAAACAAATTCTGAATATTGCTACTAACATAAAGTTCTGTTTCTCCCAAGGTTTGTACTGAGCTACAAACGGTTTTAGCTTCTAATTAACTAATTTCTAACTTTTGGCATGTATGTATGCCAAGGCTTAAAGTAGCAACAACGCTACACATTGAAACTGATGATGGTGGAAAACACCGAAACGTTTTTTTGAATTGATAAATAGGCAATAAATGACTGAAGAGCCCAGGATTTGATTTTAATTTGGAATTAATCAGACCACCGCTTTGCAGCGATTGCACTAAACATTCTTCCGTTTTATGAAATCAAGACTTAAGACTTTCGAGCTCGAATCATTGCAAATTGTATATTTCGATACGTTGATAACAACTTTTTGGGTTAAAAAAAACGTGACATTAACTTCACTAAATCACGTTGACCAGAATGCCTTAAAGCCACCCAAAAAAAGTGTTTTTTCCGTTCAAAGGAAACCCTTAAACAATAAATTATTTGTGCAAATATATGCCAAGGCTTAAAGTAGCAACAACGCTACACATAGAAACTGATGATGGTGGAAAACACCGAAACCTATTTTAATTGATAAATAGACAATAAATGACTGAAGCCCAGGAATTGATTTTGATTTGGAATTACTTTTTATAACATTTTTATGGAACAAATGTTCAACAATACTGTAAACTAGCATGTCTGTGTCAAGTACCTATTATAAATAAACACTATTATATTTTTTATTTCCAAGGTTTCAGTCAAAATGTAACATAAAAATGTTCATATCGTTTATTTCATATTACGTTTCGGCGAGACAACAGCGCCATGATCAGATTAAAATGCAAAACAAATCCATAATTGGGAAACATTTGATTCTTGGTCCATTTCAGGCTTGGTCTATTTCACTCTGAACGAGCAAATTAATTATTTTGTTATACTAGTTTAAAGCCTGGTTTCTTTCAAAAAATACAGCAAATATACATTTTTCAAACTTGTTATCATTTCAATTAAGCACGAATGTAACGTATTTTTATATTGTAATATTATATCTGGAATTGATAATAGCAAATGTGTTTATTTATTTTGATTTATTTTCCTCACTGCGGGTAATTGTTATTATATTTTTTCTTTCCTGGGTTTCAGTCAAAATGTAAAATAAAAATGTTGATATAGTTTATTTCATATTAGGTTTCGGCGAGACAACAGTGCCATCATCAGGTTAAAATGCAAAACAAACCAATAATTGGGACACTTAATTGTTTATAGGCTTGGCTGTCCTCAAAACTTTATTTGCTTGAATTATTGTCTACATTTGTTGAATGAATGATTTGTTGTGTATGTTTGTTGAAAATGTAGACAATAATTCAAACAAATATTAAGTTTTGAGGACAATCAAGGCTATAAACAATCAAATGTTTCCCAATTATGGGTTTGTTTTGCATTTTAATCTGATGATGGCACTATTGTCTCGCCGAAACCTCATATGAAATAAACGATATGAACATTTTTATTTCACATTTTGACTGAAACCCAGGACAGAAAAAATATAAAAACAATTACACGCAGTCAGGAAAATAAATAAACACATTTGCTATTATCAATTCCAGATATAATATTACAATATAAAAATACGTTACATTCGTGCTCAATTGAAATGACAAAAAAGTCTTAAAAAGATATATTTGCTGTATTTTTTTAAAGAAACCAGGCTTTAAGCTAGTATGACAAAATAATTAATTTGCTCGTTCAGAGTGAGATAAGCAGTTTTTATTATAAATATGTAATGTAAACTGTATATTTAAAATTGATATAAATTGCAAAATTGTAAGTTCTAGATAATGTAGATACATTGTAGATAATAACAAGCACACTATCTGATTTTAATTCTGAGTACTTAAAGAGTATTTACCGTAAATGAGAGCGCTATTTTAAGGTGGAAGTAAAATGTTATCTATCTATACAATTATCTATGGCGCATTGTCTATTATATACAGACAAGCTTTCAAAAATCTTTCAGTCTTTTTTAGTATTAATCACGAATTATATTCGAGCTCTGAAAATTATCCATTATCAATTTTACCATTAACCGCGGGTAACACTATGTATGCATAAGTACTCAATAGATGTAAGTCGATTCACCCAAATGCCCCAAGGCTTGAAAACTGTTTCAAGAACAAAGCTCTATTTATATCAAAAAACCAAACCAAACCTTCCTTTGCTCACGTAGAAAAATGAAAGAAAATTAATGACAAATTTTCAGGAGGAATTTAGAAAGTTACGAAAATGAGCCTATGATTGTTCATTAAGTTAGAAAGCGAAGTTGATTTTCCAAGGGACACGCACCAAGAAACGTAATCTGAATTAAGTTTCATTTACAGTTGGATTTCTATTAAAATCAGGTTTTTACATTCGTTTACTTCTTCGCGAATCCAAGCGGTACCCAACACAATGTGGTTTAACAATGACAATTTTGCAAATCTTGTTTTCTTATTGCTCACTCAGATCAGATAATTTATGAATACAAGGTGTTTAATAAGTACGCTTATATTTTTGTCATAATTGGGATTTCAGTGCCGCTGGCTATTTTCCATGTGAGAATTACCCTACTGCTTGCAAATCCCGTTTGTTTCTTTTTTCTGTTAAAGTGATTTATTGTATGCAACATGTAATTAATTAACACGCTACTGACGCATTTAAAATTCAAGTTATTTTAGATAAAGCATATCAATTGAAAATGAAAACGGTAAAATTAACTCGGCGTATCAGGAAAAATGTCTATGGACACTACCGATTAGCTGATAACTGTTTACTTGTTATTCCCAAAATTGTAAAAATTAAGTGGTATTTTCGAGATTTCCGATTTACTTGTTCCATACTTAAAAATTTCGTTTTAGTCAAAAAGCGACGAATGTTTTTCCCATGCAAAAATGCAAATACTTTTGCGTTTTTTTAAAGGTTTTCAAACATTTTTTAGAACTTTTGGATTGGAAAACATGAAACTTCACTTTGTTTTAAACGCTTTGCGGCACACGCAATTTTACTCTTCTGGTTGGGTTCATGAAAACTTTGATAACAATTAAATTTCAGTCACTATTATCAGACTAAATAAAAAATAAAAAATTAGAAACATACTTCCTATTGCTGATAAAAGTAAAAGTTAAGATATGACAACAGCGTTTCTAAGATCATCATCGTATACCACGTAAGAATACGTTTACACCCTCTCAAATTTTCTAAAAATCCTTATTTTACTAATACCGTACTTGAAACACCCTGTATATTTAAAAATCAAGACCATATTTTAATTAAAATATTTCCAATCACTTGTGCTACCAATCCAAAATCCAAATTGTATAAATAGGTGTTTTTCACTTTTAATAGGTACTAAAACGTTAACTTAAAAAAATTATGTTAACGACGAGAATTCAAATTTTATTTAAAATACGGAACATCATACACACATACACATACGGAACATTTGTATCGAAAAATGTGCTTGAACTAAAAAATATCTTCTTTGACTTTATTGTTTCTCGGCTTTTTTTATCAAGAAATGATAAATAATAGTTACATTATTTTGATTGTCCAAATTATCTATCTATACCTATCTATAAGATTGATAACATTCATGTGTATAGAATACGTGGCAAAGTTTTTCTATAAAAAGTGAAAACATTTTGTACAATACAAGAACACGTAATCTTTGTTTCTTTTTTTTCCAATTTTGTAACTAGTGTGCTCAATCACATTATTAAGTTGGTTTATCAGTTTCATCCTTTCAACTTTTGTAAAAATTTGATCACCATAGGCGTAAAAGGTGCGTTGTTATAAAATGTGATTTTTAGAAAACTAGCTTGAAAGGCTTTAAAAAGCGTCGTTTTAATTTCTATTCGCCGTTTTAATTTAATAAAAAATATCGCCCCAGCAAGTTTTTGTTGAAAGTTCGTATGAGAATCGCATTTTGCAACATTCTCTCACAAATGGCTTATGCATGTGTTATCTCGAGTGTTTAGCGCCTTTTTTGACCGCCTTTGTATGAATATTTTATAGCTTCGTTAATATCGAGATAGTTACGTACCTACGTAAAAATGCAGCTTTTGAATCTAATATTAGATCGTATTATTTTTCCCGCAACATTTGCATAAGCACACAGTTATCAGATGGTTTTCTAAACATTACTTTAGTTGGAAAGAAAAATAATTTAGAAAGAATGGAAATGTTGCAGACAAACAAATAAAACTGTAGAGGCCATTAGGCAAAAACGGCAAACGTCTTGAATATTTAATTTTTTTCGCTTTAATGTTTTTAAACTTTTTCTATTTCGTCTCATTAATTTAAATAATTTCAAATCCGGGCCATGTGTTCAGCACCCCATACATTTTTACTTTAATCCGGCTTTCGATACTTAATCGATAGGATTATTCAGGTGTTCTTAACTAAAATGTACGATTTTTGATCAGTTTTTCGCTTACCTACCATAACAAGGGTCTGTCATGGGAAAACATAGAGTATCGGTTTCCTACCATTTCATTGTTATAAATTTATGGCTGTTAAATTTCGACTGGAAGTCATGCTAACGTGTAAAGCCAATTTCAATCGATTTCCTAGAAAAATTCAAACCAGCCGCGCTTCGTCACCTTTTCGTATGGCCGCAAGATAGAGCAGCTGTAGGCGAGGTTTCGAGTACAATGAAAATCGATTTCTCTCAAGGTCGTCGTGCAACTTATCGTTCCCAAGCGAAACGAAGTAATGGCTTCAGTCTGACGTCACTGACTAGCTACGTTCCAAATTGGTAGCTCGTTGAATGTTAAAAATGGAGTGTGATTTTTGAAAGTGTGGTCTATTGATATGGAATGTATGAAGATGCCCGATATAGATGCATTGCAATTATTCCACAGCCCAATTTTGTAAGCACCAGTACCCAAAACCATATGGCAGCAATTGATCATGCAAACTGGAAATTTCGTTCAGCTTCAGCTGATTTTTAAATTACAAATGGTTGAGCGTTTTAAAAATGTGTATGCGAAAGTCCGATCAATGTTCGGAAATATAGGCGAGTGAAATGAAAATTGGAACGCAGCGCGTCATTGAATGACGACAAAGGTCAAAAATAACTTTTTGGATAGACACCAAGCGCGATAGCGTATGGAAAGAATGCAAATTATGTGTTAAACAGCTATTAAATTTGATATAAATAGTTATTGTCTTAAGAACTAGCAATTAAAAAGTAAGATTTTACCTTAAACGGACTAAAAATGGCAACACTGTACGTATGATGACGCACAGATTTCTTTGTTGCAAGGAAACCCCAAAACGTGGCAATTTGCCTGTTTTTCGCAAAAACAAGTTTGCAAAACATCAAGCGAACATTCAGCCACATTTTGGGGCCATATTTTAGACCTGTGGGAGAAAGATTGGCTGGAATTAACTAAAAAGCTGTCCACGCCTACGTCCATCCAAAAAGTACGTGACTAGAACGTCAGTCTAGCCATCAACGCGACAAAAAATCGATTGAAACGGCATTTTAACATGTTTCTGGCCTCGAAACGAATGGTTATCGATATTGCTGGCGAACGAAATTAATGCAAACCTTGTTTTATCACATACGAGCGCCATTGCGACCTAATTATATTCACTAGGCAGGAATATGTTAATGAAATGGCATGAAAAAGTCACTCATTCACTGTATCTGTCCTGAGCAGCTCATGGGACAGACATAAATATTTGAAATTACTCATATTCTCATAGCTTTAACCGACTGTTCTCTTTGGCGAGGAGACCACAAATGATTTCCTTCAGTGGAATTCGGATTATTGAGCTCGGCGTCCCAGAAACCGACCAATCGGCGACAGGCAGCTGCTAAATTGCACCAATGGCAACATTGCTGCATCAACATCTCAAAGGTTCTCGACCTTGGACGACCGCTTCGACTGATCGATAATCGTTTTGTTTGTGGCATTTTCGGCTTTATGTAAACGGACCATACGGACACTGTCGATTTTTATAGGTTTAGGGTTGACCACTACCTGAGATTTTCCTGTATTTACACAAAACCCATGACTGCAACTATTTAAATGCAATTCCGCGACATCTTGAATGAAACAAAATAATTAGCAAAATTAACTCCATGGAGAGCTCTTGAAGAATGATTTATAGCTGGTCTCCGAGCTAGTCGATCAAATTGAGTGCATTTTGTAAGTAAATGTGTACTTTCCAATATTGTCTGTACTCAAATTTGGATTTAGGCGAATAATATCTAGTGAACAGGTAAAATGTATTATGGGCTTCTTAATTTAGAGGTATGCGGCGCCATCTAGTTGTTGGATATTTACTACTTATTAGCTTTGCAGAATTCTGCCCAACGCAATGTATGAATGAGTAATAAATCTATTTCCTTGTGAGTATTCACCCGATTGGTCGGTTAATAGATCCTTCGTCAGGTGATCGTGAATGATTTAATCTTACACAATAAAAAAATACTAAGGGTTAGAAGGTTTACCCTGATTTAGTAGTAAGTTTTTATTTAAACAAATAAATTTTAAATTTATTTTTTTAAATCCGTCTTAAAAATGCGTAATTTTCTGTTTAGAACGTGTTAGAAATCCTGATAAACAAAACAAATTTATGTATATGTATTTATCAGCGAACAACAAATTTGAGAGCCAACCACAATACAGGGCGATGTAAATCTGGCGTCATTTCTTCGGAAGTCTTATCTGAGGGTATTTAGAAACTGCAAAAGTTAGGAAAAAAATCAGTTTGTGCAGGAAACTAGATTAAACATTTGGCAACTATGTGATCGCAACAAGTTTTCTCATAACACTAGGCCTGGGTAACACTGTGTTGAGTTGCGCTATTGAGTTGTTGCCGCTCTCTGGGTTAACGAGTTATAATTCATCGGTTAATGAGTTTGAAAAATTTATTTGTTAAAGCTTTACTAGATTGGAATTTTCACATCTAAAAAAGGGTTATTAACATTTTTTCTGAGTAACGTTTTACTAATTTGTTCAAACTCCAAAAAAATGTAAGTAAAACTTTAGGAAAAACTCGGTTTTTCTGTTTAAAGACAGTGTTGTTTAGAAATATTGACCTAAAAGTGAAGAAACTAGTTTCCAAAGGTTTCCCAAATAAATGATTATAAACTTTTGCTTTTTCAGTTTGGGGAAATATGTTTGGAAAAAGACCTAGAAATAATTATTAAGGTTTGGTCCATAATTCGAAGCTGCAAAAAGTTTTCCAAACATTTTTGCAAAACAGTTAAGGAGGCGAGTGTTCCTATAAAATTTATCATATAATTTATCACAGAAAATATCTGAAGATTGCCAGTATTTAAAGTCAAACTAAAAAATAATGCGATTTTTGTGTAGAAAGAAGTGCTTAATAGAAACTTTGCCAAAACTGGAATCACCTGAGAATTTAAAGGAACTTTAGAAATCTTCAGAGCGACCAGGGCGGCAAATTTTTCCAATAATTTTTTGAAAACTTTTGCTCTCTGGTCGTTTTTTTAAGATTGAAGAAGATAAATTACTTTCGGAAAAATATGAGTAAAATTATTTGGTTTTTGTGGCAAATTCGAAGCTGGAAAGGGTTTTCTAAATTTCCCTGCAAACCGATGAATGAGGCGGATTTTCTAGCAAAATTAATTTGGTAATTTTTGACTGAAAACACTCCATTATTGTCAAAAAAAGAAGAAAATCATCAGAAACTAATGCTTTTTATTGCGTTTTCGATTAAAATATTTTAGTTTTGTGATCGGTTTTGGAGAAAACCTTGATGGTTTTCAGGAAAAAACGGTAGGAATATATTTTTTGAAGGACAATTTAAAGGAACTTTCTTCAGAGCAATGGGCGGCCAATTTTCCACATAATTTTTTTAACTTTCGCTCTAGTCGTTTTCGGTTTTGGAAGAAACCTTAATGGTTTTCGGGGAAAAATGGGAGTAAATTATTTTCGTTTTTGTCCCAGTTAACACTGAAAAAAGTGTTTGTAAAAAGTTTACAAAGCTATAAATTTATCTTTTCTCATTTATCTAATTTTCGCGTAAAAGTCCTCCAGATC